CCCCAATGGTGACGGCAACAGCGCCTTCTCCATCAGCGACGATGAGGATGCCCAAGGGGGCCAGCGACGCCGACTACGCAAGACGATCAGCGAGGCCAACGGCATGAACATGCGTGCTCGCATGAACCGGGGCAACAGTCCTCCAACGGCTATCCCCGGCGGCGTTAACAACAGCTCCATGCCGGGCGGCATGATCTAAGACATTTCAGTTGGTTACAATATTTCTATTTCGATTCTAATCTACTCCCATTATCGCACGGATAGCTGGAAAAGGGGACGGGAGAGAAAATGGTCATGACGAATCTATGAAAACCCTTTCTATACTGTTGTTTTACTGTTGTTTTACTTTCTATTTCCCACTACATGATCACCGCACAATGGTGTGGTCTCTATTGTATATTTCTTATTCTTACACTCCTTCTCACTCGCCGCCCTCGTGTGGGTGAGCGACTTATTGGATCTTGACTCCTGGAGAGATCTTAATTAGGCGGGGTCCTGGGTTTCGCGGTAAATGGAGTGCGTCTCGGGGGTGGGCCTGGCGTCTGCCGCGTGCAGGATCTCAATATTCTGGAAGATGGGTGCATGGTGGTTTCAATTTGGAGAATACCAGAGTGTTTCTATACTGTATTAAGGATGGGGTTTACGCTGGGCCGATATACCACGTACCAGGTAGCGTACCGTGGGAAGAATCAAATCAATCGGGCTTCAAATCGTTTCTTTCTGTGAACATTCGTATTTGACAAGTGAAGTGTTTGTTTCTTGTGTGAGTGTCAGCCCACAACCTCGTCGGCCCTTGATGCTCCGGATGGATCGCCGACATATCTCTCGTGGCCATATTGATGATGATTGATTGGTACTGACACGCACTCTCTTCCTCGAGCAAGGCCAGACAAACCTTGTCGCATGCACAACTTCCTCAAGTCCTCAGCGGAGGCGTGGTCTCGACGATAGTGATAAACCCCACGCAACCCCGTCGCAATCCCTGTCCCCTCTAGATAGGTTAAAATCGCAGTGAGGCACTAAATAAAGGCCGTTCTGCACTCCACTACAAGCCGCTGTTTAATGCATTCTAGATTGCTAGCTCACGTACGAATGAATCTGACAAACAAAGCAAAGTAGGTAGGCGCAAGAAAACGCGAACAAAAAATGAAACATTGCTGTGATTTGGTGCAATCTGCAAAACAATTGGGCCCTAACCAGGGATCGAACCTGGGACCTCTCCCAGATATGAGGTGTCGTGAAGACAACCCTAAGGGAGAATCATACCGCTAGACCATCAGGGCTTGGTTTGGTGGGCAGTGACCCACTTGTTGGGGGCGTATGACGACGGAGACTCCTACGGAGCATCGCGAAGTGTGCGTTCGATCTGGCTGGGATGAAAAACGGGGGTTGATTGTTGTGTGTGGGTTCCCTGAGTGTATAGATTGATCAGACGGACGCCTGGATGTAAGTGAGTCTGAAGTAGCATATAGCTGAGAAATAAAGAAGCAGTGTAGCAGTAGGTCCCTGTGGCAAAAGTGTTAGGGGAAGAAGAAAGAGGGAGAGTAGAACACAGGTCGGGTTGTTGCAAAGAGAAGCATGGGGCCTTGATAGATAGGGAATCACTCAGTGTATGAATGACAACTATGATGTGAGGATGGCCATGATCTCTGTGATGCCGCGGATGGCAACGTCTCAGCTGGTCTAGTTAACCAGAGCTGTCGTCAGGTCCAGCTTTACCCAGCCTGTTTTCAGTCCGACATTAAGCTTGCTACCAACGTGCGCTTTCGGACTTGGGGGCAAGCCATGAAATCGCCGTATGACAGAATCAAGACCCGAGATGAGCGCCGCAGGTCAAAAATCCGCGGTTGAATCAGGGCGCCGTCCTTGAATCTTCCGTGGCCTCCAGTCTCGGGATTACATTTCCAGGACAAGATATTTTCCGAAATCTCCGTGCCCATGATCGAGTTTCAGGAAACGACGTATGGAGAGAGAGGCCTCACTGCGCGGTGAAACATGACACATCCACGGAGAAATCTTCAAACAGGGTGGCCTTTCTTATATCATAGCGCGAGAGGCGGGTTGCGTGGCATATCGAACAGAGGGAGTTCAGCGGGAGTAACCCGACAGTCTGGCCTGACGAGCGCGAGAAGGAAAGCTTCTTGCATGTTTGGACGAACTTTATCATGTCTCAGGCGGATACGCGGGGAAAATAACCCCCGGATGTGACAAGATCGTCCGCTTTTGCCAGGTGGTGGATATGACTCGGGTGATGTCGTCTGAAACTTGGGACCAGGAGGTTCAAAGGCTATTCGGTATGGCATTCGCGATATAGGTCTCAACAGATACACAGATAACTTGCTCGTTGGAAAAGGGCCCGGTGGGACTTTTCAGTTGTATAAAGACGCGCCTGTCAGCATCTCTCCAAGTTGCGAGAAGTTGATTGATACCACAGCCACAAGAAGTATCTCCTGCCTTTAAACAGACTTACCCAAATCTATTTCTTGAGTAACATTCCGCGAGCCGCAAATATGAAGGTCCTCTCGCTCTCAATGCTCTTCGTCACGTTTGCCTGCGTTGCGAGCGCACTTCCGCAAACACCGCGAGAGGGCTGCGATTCTGTCGCCATTTGCAACGACCTTTGCGGAAAGCAGGGCAAGGCGAGTTCAACCCGTCGCTGGTAGTTGAATTGAGGATGAACAGACTTCATGAGCCGCCATACTGACGCTTGAACTTCCAGAAACGAGGAGGCAGCGCGTGTACCGGGAACAACGCGGCGTCATGTGTTTGTGTTCCCAAGTAGTAGTTGGAGATGTTGTTGGATCTGGAGCGAGCGAGCAAGCAAGCGACGTGGCTGGTGCCAGTGTAGTGGATGTGGTTCTGTTATCTAACCACAGAGTATTACTGAAATTTCAAATCCTTTCAGGCATGATAGCTGCGTGGTGGCCTTGGGTGAGATGAGATGAAAAGTGGCAGTCTTCAGCGCAACTCTGCAGTGCGATGCGGGGGAATCCGCATCGGGCCGGAATGTCGGCTAGGCGCTACTTAAAACGGCCCCATGACCGGGCGTCGAACCTTCCATAAGCATCAAATGATAGCGAGTCCTCCTGCCCTTCTACCGAATCCAGTCGAACATCACGACCATCTCTCACATCTGGCTGAAATAGTAGCATCAATTCGTTTCGAGTTGACATTACGTACTCACCATCGTCAGAGAGAACCCCGCTCGCTGCCGCGACGTATCACGCCTGCTGGCTAAAGCGCTCTGAGGCCCAACGATAACGTCGAGTCCTCTTTTCAACGCACGCCCACAAACGATTCCGTCGCCATGGCCTTCATCCGCAACTACAAACTTTCCGATTTCGAGGACACGGCACACATCGTACGCACCCGCCATCCCACATCCGCAAGCCCTGCTAACCTTGCTCTCAGTGCCGCGCAACCCTGCCTCCTTCCCTGGACAAGTCCGAGGTAGGCACTCGGATGGCGCCGTTCCTCTGGACGCACCAGTACACGCTCCTCTCGCCCTCGACCTGCCACGTCCTCGACGACGGCACCGGTCGCGTGGTGGGGTACTGCATCGGATGCCCCAACGTCAACGACTTCGCGGCCGCCTATGATCGCTACGTCAAGGAAGTGCTCGAGACGTCACCGGAGTTGGCCGGCAGACGGCCCCAGAGCCTTGAGACTAAAGCGCCGTGGAACTTGCCCTCGGGAGAGGTGAATGAGGAGGCTTTGCTTCAGCAGGCTTGGAACCCGACGTGGCTTGTGCTGGACGATGAGAGGAAGGACCTATGGGGAGAGTGGAAGGGCACGATGCACATCGACCTGCTTGAGGACTACCAAGGCAAGGGATGGGGGAGGAAGCTGATTGGCAAGTTCGAGGAGAGTCTGAGAGAGGCTGCTAAGGCCAAGGGTGGAGACGAGAGGTTGTATGGCAAGGGGTGGCACATTGGTGTTGGTGGAGAGAATGAGAAGGTTGTCAAGTTTTATGAGAAGATGGGGTTTCGGGTCTGGCCGACTGCCGAGAAGGGATCTATCTGGATGGTGAGAGATATCGAGTAGAGTGGCGCCGGAGGATGGCAAAGCGGCGTTGATGGGTCACTTCAGCTCAGTGGCTCGGTTCCATTGGCAATTTCTCTTTCACACGGTAGCTGGGGTTTAAAGAGTATTGCGCCAGTTCCCTCTCAAGTCTCCGATACGTCGCCGGAATTAAGCCGAATTCAACAGCCCAGACCAGCGAAGCCGCACACTAATAGCAGTTTTTAGAGACATGTCCATTTCCAAGCAGGCAGCTTCTTATCATGGCCTCCCTGGAGATTCGCCATGATGTTGCTCATCGGGGATGGGTCTTTTTCGTGGCCAACCGCACTATCCATGCAGCAGCCTCATCCCCTGGAGTCCTTAGCATGTCATCTTGCTGTCCGAAGCAAGCCTTGTTGGCTAAGTGGTATAGCGCCTCACTAGTAATGAGGAGATCGGGCGTTCGATTCGCCCACGAGGCATCACAGTCTGGAGTATCTCCATCGGCCGACGTTTCTTTTTTTGGACTTTTTACTTTTACGTTTCAACGACCTTACGCGCGTGTAAGTCTGGTAGTTGATGCATTGGTGTGTAATAAAAGAATGTGCGTAATGCTATTTTCGCATGCTCTTGTTATTTCAACTGTTTGCTAGCCTCTGTGTGCTTAAATTTATATAGTTGCCATTGTGATGACTTGGGTCTTGGTGTTTTTGCTTAGATGACCTTGCAGGGAACCGCTGAACCTTAGTGCGCCAGCGCCTGGGCAAGAGACTCCGACACTGATCGGAGTCTCCTTCCGTGCGCTAAACACCGGAGTCATGCTGTGGAGATGGTGGGCTAGCGGCTTCGGATCACGAATCTCGGCCTTTACGTAAGGGCCTCTGCGGGGTTTATCATCGACGCCCGCCGTTCATGTTCTTAAAGTCGGAGTCCTCCTGGATGATTTTCTTGATTCCTTGACCAATTTTGCATCAGTTTATAGAATTTCAAATTCAAAAATGTCTGCTGCCGATATCGACCCCGCCCAGCGGCTCAAGGACCGCAAGCCGATCCCGAAGCCCGTCCCGGCTTATCTCGCCACGGCCGGATCACCACTTACCGTGGACAAGGTGCTTTACGAGTCCGCGCAGAAGGCTCCTAGAGTTCTGGTGGAGGAATTTACCTTGCCCATTCGTTCTGGTAAGGCGTGGAAAGCGCCTGCTGGTTCCATTGTGAGAATCAGCACACCCGCGGGACCTCAAGTTGGTAAGTTTGGGCGAATGCCCGATCCCTGAGCACCGAGTGCGACTGGTGTCGACTAGTTGAGCAATACTACCCAGTCGAAGTCCAAGCTGACATAACGCATGCGACCTGAACATCTGGAACGCCCACAACCCCCGCGAACGGTTCTGGGCCTCTCGCACTCGCCAGTTGCACGCAAGTCACGTCTCGGTTGGCGACCGTCTGTGGTCAAACCTACCGTACATCAGACCCCTGGTGACCATCATCGCGGATACGCTGGCATGGTACGGCAAGGATGAGCACGGCGGACGCGTCCACGACTTGCTCGGCACGCGATGTGACCCGTATATCAACAGCATCCTTAGCGGAGGAAGCTACGATTTCCAGTGCCACTCGAACCTCACTCGCGCCGTTATCCCACACGGACTGAACGAGAGCGATGTTCATGATGTTATCAACATCTTCCAGTCAACGGGGCTGGATGAGCAGGGCCGGTATTTCATGAACCCCTGCCCGGCTGGACCAGGTGATTATATTGAGTTCCTGGCAGAGCAAGATGTTCTCATGGCTTTGAGTGAGTATCTTCTTCTGGACAACGATGATGAGGACTAGGCTGACACAAGTTGAATAGGTACTTGCCCCGGAGGTGACTTATCGCTGTGGGGATTCGGCGAGGATAGTGAGGAGGAGATGATCAAGTGCTGTAGGCCACTAAAGGTTGAGGTTTACAAGTTGGAGGACGAGGGACTGCTGCAGCGTGGGGGATGGAAGCCTGCGGAGGTTTCGCCGTACAAGGGGCGACATGGAATGAACATTCCTCTTGGAGAGGTGCGCAATTGAGGCCGCATGATCAAGACCTGTGGACAACGTGCAGCTTTATGATACATGCTAGCTAAAGTGTTGAATAGAATGCGGGCTAGGGGGAGTTTTGCTTTCAATTTGCAAGTTGATTTCAGAAAAGAACGGTGCCACCGAACCAATCCAGACTTCTGGGTAAGAGATAATCCCGCCTTGGCCAATCAATATTACACGGCCCTGCATCTCTTTTGACCCCTTGCTGCAGGCAGCCTGCAGGTACACAAGAAGATCTACTTTTGCGGTGATTTTTCACTGCGATTTAAACTCTGCCCGATGGAATCAATAATTAGATGCATGCAGGGAACGTCATCGGCTTTGTCTGTTAGATCAAGCTATCCCGCCTACCATTATATTTCAACACAGATGTGGAGACCAAACCCGTGAATTGTTGCATACTATCAGTATTTTCAGAAGATGTACTGCGGGTAACTCACTTGCTGATCACCTTGCCATCCTTCTGTACCACAACCCTTCGCACCGGTTTAAACCCACGAACCAACCCAGTTCTCGAATCCCTACCCACACCTCCTCCAGTAGCAACGCCATTCCGTCTAACACCTATCCTCCTCAAGCTCCTCACAACCTTACCATAATCTCCAAAGAACTGATGAGCACGCACATCCCGACCCGTCACAAGCCCGTGACCCAAAGTAACACCCCAAATGCCTGCAACATTCACGGAATGCGCACTTACGTCCCGATCCGGTTGCAGAAGAACCGAGTAGATACATCCAGTGTATCTCACAGGTCTCAGCGCCACATCAGCAGGGAACACCCAACTCTTTCCGCTGTCCATGGAGACAGGATGCCACGGTGTGACAACAAGATCACCGACACGGCACATGATTTCCCTGTGGACAGGCGTCTTCAGAACGGCCACGACACGCCTAGGACCAGATGGCGTCTGTACCGCCACACCTCTTCGGATGGTCTTGATAGGAACCTTGCGACCTGAGGCGAGGCAAACTGGAGTGGAAGCGATGAAACATACTCCCGAAGAAGTATTATAGGAACTCATCTTGATGCGGCCTCGGTGGGTTGCAACCATATGATTTGATGGTGTTGGCGCGGGTAGGTTGTCAAACGCGTTGTCAAGTCTATCCCGGCATGTGATGAACAGAGGACTGTCGACGCCGTACTGAAGCGGACCGGGATCCTTGAAGGTATTGCAAATCTGCCTGGTGTGGGCGTTTAAAAGAGAGGGCAAATAGTGCACGCCCCATTTTGTGTAGTATTCCGGGTTCTTGAGCGCGAGAGAAATTTGACCCTTTGGTTGGTCGCCTGACAGATCTTCAATCAAAGACTTGTTTTTCGGGTCATTGGGAAACTTTTGTGCTGGGAGGTCTTTGATGAGAGCCTCGAGTGTTTCAATTTTCTGTGGGGAAATATCGCCCAGCGCCTCGTGCTCGCCGTCTTCTCTCAGGGGTATGATCGATGACAGGTAGGAACAAATCTGAGAGCGGGAAAGATGATATGCGATCTCGGACTCTGGGAGAGTGGTGGGATTTGAGAGAGATTGTTCAGTCGTCTTTCTGTAGAGAGCACTTGTCATGCGGGAGTATTCAAGCGAGGCAATGACGCTGGACTTTTCGAGAATAGAGCCTTCTGAAGCCTTGATGCGCAGATAGATATCCCGAGACTGACCAAATTGCAGGTTTCCGAGAGAGATGGAAAGTTGCTTTGGTTCGTCTTTTTCGTCGGGCAGGGTGAGGACTTCTTGCTTGTCGACTGAGTCCCCCGTTGTTTCCTCGAGGTCGATAACCGCTGGGAAAGTGAGCCGTAGGGTTGCGTTGATAGCATATGTTGCCTGGAGGTTGGCGACCGCGTGGACGAAAACAGTTCCCTGGCATTTATTAGCGCGATAGGGGGTGAGAGTGGAAACCGTCTCGACTTACAATCATGCCAGCATCCGGAATGAAGGAGTAATTGCCACCGCCAATCTCAGCGATGGACTTCAACAAACCAGACCTCAGAGAGTATCCAAAGCCAAACGTATGAACTGAGGCAGGAAGCTGCTCCATGCCACGCAGCTTCGGAACGTATCCTTGCACCGGGCACATGTGATTGGGCATGCCGTCCGTCAGTACCATGATGGCAGGAACCCTGCCAGTGTTGACCTCACCACCCTCCTTGAACAACTTGATACCCTCGAGAAGTCCATGCCAAAGGTTAGTGGCGTCGATTGGCCTCATGCCGTTGATGTTCTTTTCGGCCAGTGTCTTGTTCTTCTTGTTCATAGGCATCAGTTTCTGAACAACCTTAGCTTTGGAGGCAAAGGTAATGATGCCGAGTCTGTCGGTCTCGTCCATCGTCTCCAGAATTGTGCGAGCGGCGTGTTTGACCAAGTCCAGGACTGACAGTCCGTAGTTTTCGGTCTTTTCTCCCGGGTTAGCGGGGACAGGGGCATTGCAGCCCATGCTTCCCGATACATCAATGACCAGAACGATGTCGCAAGGCACATGGTCAATAGACTTAGAAGGTGCTTCCGGGGGAGTTATCTTGGCGATAAGCCCGTCTTTCGTGGAAAGAGGATGAATGGAAAGGGCGACATCGTCGGAAGAGGTGGGTTCCTCTGTGTCTGCCGGCATGGTGCTAGTTGTGGTCCACGCCGAGAAGGTCGACCTGATTGAGTCGGTACGGGAGACCGGAGGCGAGCTGCCCTTGGAAGGGCTTCCGAACAACCACTTTTTGACCTGAGGCATGTCAGCAGGGGATATCGTCGTCGTATTGACAGGGGGGCCAACCATCGCGAGTATGTCTCAAGCCACCGGAGACGTTGATTTTGACTGGGTTGCAATGAGGAAAGAGTGTAGAGACAACGAAAATGCAAGTTTTCGGGTCACACATATATCAAACCGTTGATCACGGGGAGTGAATCACCGCCGACTTGATGTTTCCAAGTTGGCCTCGCGCATATTCACTGGTCCATGTCCTGTGATGAGGGGCTGATGCGGTAAGACCGTCTAGGCTGACGCCTTTGGCTGGATTCGGCCGCAATAGAGGCCAAAACATTGCCGTGACCAATCCCTGGCGTCCAGCGCAGCCTCTGGTGATCAGCCAATTAGGCCGCTCCCTGCTACTCTCATCTGAAGTAATACACTGTTTGCTGCCTAAAGGCAAACGCCCTCATAAACTGGCAAAATCCTTTCACAAGTTTGCTTCCCTTCGCGAAATGGAGCAATTAACCAGGCAGTGTTGGAACTAGTGTGTCAAGGCGTCTCGCCGAAGAGTGTTGTTTGTGGGGTGAAATGAGACGCCGAGGCCTCGGACCGGGGAGTCGGCACCGGGCGGTAAAGGCATTCTCTTAGGCATTCTCAGGGGCGACGGGGCGCAGTGGATGCCTGTCGGGTCGCATGAGTCCCGTACGTCTGGGACCCGGGACCCAGTGGCGGTCGGCTCTGTTGGTGTTTGCCTCGCCCCCCCTAGCAAACTGTACTCGGAGATGTCCTAGTGTCCTTGGCGGTTCACTGCGCGCGGGTAACAATTGTTGGTTGGACACAATTACGAAGAGAATAAAGGCCTCCCATTCCCACCTCCGCCCTCGCTCACCGCAATTCAATTCCTGTCCTGTTTACCGCCTCATCCTTCAACACGTCGAAAGGCTTTCCGGGTGGAAGGTGTCCTGAAAGCGTCTGTGTAGACGCTTAGCTGGGTGTCAAATTCACTGGCGTAGAATCCGAGCGCTGACGGGGAGTGACTCAGACGCCGTGTCTGATGTCAGACGGCGAGGTTAGGAAGCACTTCTGCCGAGCTGGCTGTTGACATTGATGGGTAGGCAACCGACTGGACCAAATTCACAAGATTTCAGACTTCATGCTGCTAGGCATCACTCGTGGCGGCTGCTCCTCTTTAGGCTCAGTCGATCTTCAGTCCTCAATTCTAGACCGTCCGTTTTCATCGTGCTGCCATAACATGCCAGCTCAGTGCAAAACACAAATCATGTACCATCTTCATGAAATTAGGCAGCATGCTTTTCAACGCATGTCGGACGGTTTCGAGCGTTCTGCAAGGACTTAGACAAAGGTTTCCGCAAACCATACAATCCAACCTTGGGCCAACACTCTTTGAAATCATGGGTCCTACCGCATGCCTCCATCAACCCCACTCAAAGAGCCAGCGGAGTCGTGTCACTAAAATCCTTGATGCGCCCAAGAAGTAGCTCCAGACTCCGATAGCCACTTCCTGCAGACCAACCGGGGAGCTCATGACCGGCCAGTTGTATTTCATAGAACGTCACTCCTCGCTCATAACCCCAGATACCAAGGTTTCCCGCCCCAGCCATGGCCCCTCTGTTCTGTTCGGCGTGATACGGCACAAAGAACGGTGTCGAGGGTTTCTGTTGGAACCCTTGAGCACCATTCCACGTGATGTTTTGCAGCGCCAACAACGTTCCATTAGTCGGAAGGATGAAGTCGAGTGCCCCAGAGCCGATTATCGTGTTATTAAGCCCATCAATCACTCGTGTGAGCGTATCGTCGACAGCCGGCCCCGGTGAACGGTCATCGCCGAGGAAGCCACCACTGAGCGAGCACGCCCACCAATAGGCTGCATCGGGAACGTTGAGAGCTTTCTTGACATCAGCACGGTTGAAATAGGACTCTGGGGCCGAGGGTGGCACGTAGTCTCCACCATTGATTACACCCAGAGGCTGGTAAGGGAACGGGCACATATCAGTGATGTGGTAGACATTGAAGCAAGGATTGACCTCCATAACAGCGTCGATAAAGTCAAAGTAGACTCCGCAGTCTGATGGAACCGCGTCCCATGGCCTTGGCGGAGGCGGAAACGCGAGGTACTTATTCAGAAAGTCGGCGTAACCACACTGCTGTTTCTGAGAGCGCAGGCTCGCCATGAACGTGTCGTTGAGGCCCAAAACATTGTTCCAGTATTCAATGAAATCCGGAAGGATGATTTCCTGCTGGAACTGAGCATTGCCAATGAATGGGTCGTTGATGGCGATTCCCTTTATGTTGAAATACTCTGTGTCGTTTTCTTTGAGAAATCCATCGCTGATGTAGGGGACGTAAAATCCGGCATACGATTCACCCGTCTATTATGGTCAGAAAACCACTTCAAAACAACATTTGACACAGCCATGAGTCCACTCACCAAGTAGATCTTTCGATCATGAAGATCAAACGTGTTCATAAAGTTCCTCCAGAAGCCCTTGAACTCTCTGACCAGATCATCCTCATTCAGAATATCTGGCTCACCCGTAGAATATCCAGTCTTGACAGGTTGGTCAATCCAGACAAAATTGGTGAGCTTGTTCCACGCGTAAGGATTCTTCGTAGGCCCATACGTTCCAGACTCCCAGAGGATAGGTCCATTTTCTTGCAGCAGGCCCAACATCGAAGAACAACCCGGTCCTCCGGTGAACCAGACTGCTATCTCGTCGGTGGCAGCGGGGTTCTCTGACGGGAAGAACCAAAAGAAGAGCTTTCGCGTCTCGCTTGCATTTTGCGAAATCGGCAAAAGTCCTGCGTACGACTCGCCGATATCCCAGTCAACGAGCGGTACTCCGGTTCCGTTCACGGCGAAAGGCATTGTCTTGTTTGTGAGGTAAGAAGTTGAGCGCGGCGCATTGGAGGCTCGGTCGACAAATGCCGCTTGTCGTTGTCCGGCTGCTGCCCTTGCATTTTCAAAATAGTGAACTCTACTCTTGAAGCTGGAGGCAGCGGATGGTGGCTGGTCGGCTGCGGCTGCAAGAGCTGCCAGCACTGGCAGCAGCAGCAAGTGAAGGAGTTTAACCATGGCGGCTTGCGAGGTTCAGGAATTGAAAGCTTCGGGGTGATGGGAAACCTCGGGGTGATGGGAAGAGAGACTCACGGATGCGTGAACAAACGCGACAGCGAATTCGTATAGCTACATGGCCTTAATACTTGTTCTGTAACGAGCTGAGTTGCTTACAACGCCGGAAAACCAGCTTTCCATCTTTGGAAGGTAGCAATGAGATTTCACGAGGTGAATGAATACGAGATCGACGCCCAAGGATAATGATAGTCGCAGCTATCTAAGTTGAGAAGTTAGACTACTGATTGGACCGCTAACATAGCATCTGGTGATTGGCCCACATTTATGCCCGTGATTGACTGCCGCTTTGCCGATGAACATTCGGAATCACAGGAAAGCTTGACAATACGTTGAATAACATGGATCAACGTGCATCTCAATATCCTGAATGGTTGCAGTGCAGGCCGGGTTTAGCAAGCAACCGCACTTAATCATACGCTCAATGACTCCCTCTCCTCTTTAGCCTTCTCACGTTCTTCAAAGTACTTGATCAGAAAGATGCTTGAGAGCTCCAGGACGCTTACGCCGCACATGATGGAGAATCCCATGTGGAACGAAGGAGCATATTTCCCAACGTCGAGAATAACCACTGATACGCAACGATTCAACATGACCATTCATTTCGAGAGCATCAAGGATGACGAACCTGGGACCCACGCGATGAAAGCTTGACCAAGGGTCTGAGCGATTCCAATGACTACCGCTCGCTCCTCCATGTTCTTATGCATGATCTCGATGGCCCATGCCTACAATGATTCAGTATGATGAATGCAAAATGAGCAAGAGACTTACATAAAGTACCGGCCAAAAGCCCCAAGAAGCCGCGTTGATGAGATACCCAGCGAATGTCAGCGCGTAGGTTGACCCGACAGCGACCATGATCATACCGATCAAATTGATGATCTAATGGATTTAGTGAAAATACATATACTGGGGATGCTTTTGGATACTAACTGCGGGCATGAGCAGGACTTGCCATCGTTTCTCCAATCCATCAGAAAGCCATGCATAAAGCAATGTGGTGACCAACCCAACGGCCTGCGCAGCTGTAGGGAAAAGGTTGATCTGGTAGACGGTGAAACGGTCTAAAGATTTGAGCCATACGGAGAAGTAGTTCAGTGGCTGCGTTACCACACAGTGACATCTTGTCTCTGTCAGTGCACTGCCCGGTGTTCCAGAGAAAGAGTCTTACATCAACGTAAAGCTAAAGACGTAGAGGGGCCAATTAGTAAATATCTGCCAGACTCTCGACTTGGTCAATGGTTCTGGCTTTCTCCGGTCTACCGCCTCCATGCGGCGTATATGCTTCTCTTGCTCCCCTTGCCGCATCCATCGAGCCTTCGTGATGAACGGGTTGTCCGGCACGGCGAAGAAGCCCCAAAGTGGTGCCCATATGGAGATGAAGCCGCAGAATATGAACAGCCAACGCCAACCAGGCAAGCCGCTTGCCCCGTCAAGGCCTTTGTAGATGGCAGCTTGGAGATAGCCACTGAACATACTCGCAGCATAGCTCGCCGAGTAGAAAATTGATATACGTTTAGAAAGCTCTTAATGGTATCAGTGACAGTTTCTCAGTTGCAACGGCAGTTATTACCTCGAGGTGTATACCAACTGCCCATGATGGTCAAAACACCGACTGCGAAAGGACTTTCTAGCAGGCCCAGTAGAAACCGCAAGGCAAAGACTTGGCGCACGCTTCGTACCGAAGCGAAGCAAAAAGTGACAATAGTCCACAGAAGCTCAGCCATCGGTAGATATATCGAGGGTCGAACTGATCATATTAGATGGGATGGCCGCAAGTAGTCTTATATCAATACATACCGCGAGTGAGGAGAAACTGAGACGGAACCTGGCCCACCAAGTAGCCGCAGGTGAAGAACGTCTGTAGAAGATTGTACTGGTTGCCTTCGAAATTCAAATCTTCTTTCATACCACTAACGTAGGCATTGGCTACAGCGTGACTTGTTGATTTGAGCCCAATAAGGTAAGGATCTGGATAGACTCACTTATGTTGCTTGAATCGAGTAGTCTGACAAAGTAGCCGAAGGTTGCCCAACTCCTGTGTCACGTTGATGTTAGAAAGAAAAGACCGTTGTAGCCAGAGAATAAACACTTACAAGACAAACAGATCAAGTCTTTGAACAAGCCGTTTCTCGTCTTTCGACCGAGGGCCATCCCAAATCACTTCCTGAACTCGTTGCCATTTCGTGCTGGTGACATGTGAAACCTCTGGCTGTTGGAAGCTGTATCTCTTCGAAGCCGTTTCTGATTCCATCTCATGAATAATAGCGCGAAAGAGAAAATTTGACGTCTGAAGACCCAAGTATGGTGTTTTGGGAAGGCAAAAGTAAAAGCAACTGGTCAAATCCCCGTGCAGCATTATCAGTTGACAGCCGTCGACACGATTCACTTTACAGACGCTTCGGAAGTAGGCCGAGCTACTAGTGCTGATGCAAATCTGGGAATGATGGCGACATTGAAGCATGCTGCTGGACTGGCTACTGCAAGACGTGATCCGCGATATCGCACTTGTACCCATGCCTTCTTCGGTACGAATAGGTTAGTCCAAAGCCGTTCATCGCAAATTTCATATTGGCATCTGAAAGCAGTGGGCCCTTTTACCACTACTATCAATAGCCAGAGTATTTTCCATATTTGAAACGACTCCCAGTGTGGTCGTCCCGCAACCGTTTCTGCCCCGTGCCGTAGATTCTTTCGCGTACGGTGCCGCTTTCGCCCAGTGGTGCATAGATACCTCTTCGGCGGAGTTCAGGAACCAATAAGTCTACGACGTCTCCAAAGCTCCCAGGGCTCGTCACGTATCCAACGTTAAAACCATCAAGATCTGCTTCTTTCACCCATTCCTCGAGAAAATCAGCTACTCGTGATGCGGACCCTACAGGCACCGGCCCGTTCCCGCCGATAGCCATCGCCTTTCCGATATTTCGGGGTGTCCAAGTAGCAATATCGTCACCACGGTATTTCAGACTGTTGACAAGCGAGTGCACTCTACCATCAATCTTGGCATCATCGGGCTTGATCTCCGCGTCAAGATCATACTTGAAAAGGTCTATCCCGGCATTGCCGGAGAAGAATGCAAGACCTGGCTCGAAGCTTGCGTATTTCAACGCTTCTTCGTACTTGGCAGTTGCCTCCTCGTCGGTTCGGCCAATGATTGGGGTAACTACCGCGAACATCTTAACGCTGCGAGGATCGCGGCCAAACTCTGCTGCTTTCTCGCGGATGGCGGCCACACGTGGTGCCAGGATGTGGGGTGAGAGCCCTGATACCATGATAGCCTCAGCATGCTTAGCAGCAAATGCAATTCCAGCGCTCGTATGATGTCAGTTTCTACGGCGGTCGAGGTATACGAGAGAGCAAATCACTTACGAGGATGTTCCCGCCTGAAGAAGAAATGGTGTTCTCTGAGGGGACGGGTGCAAAATATGCGGCGCATCCACGTTGAACCTCGAAGTATGATGTTGAACCCAACGAATACCATCAGGATCTGCATAAGTCTCGTTCGATTTGTCTCTCTTCAGAGCATCATCTGACCAAGAGCCCTCCCATATTCTGACTTTCCGTTAGTCATGCCTGCTTTCAGGAACGTTTTTACTTACTTGTAAAGAAGCTCAACATATTCATCCGCAACTGCGTACCGCTCATCATGCTCGACGTATGACACACCAACCTAACATGAATGTTGGTGGGCAGAACCTGCGTGGTGTCCAAATGGGTACTCACTGCTTTTGCAGCCGACTCTTTGAACGAAGTCACAATGTTCCATCCAAAGCGCCCTTTAGTAAGGTGATCTAGAGTTGAGAAGCGCTTCGCTATTACGAACGGAGCCTCATAACTCGTGCTTGTCGTGACGATGAACCCAAGGTTCTTCGTCACTGCAGCCATTGCAGTCACTGGCTACCACTGGTTAATGCGGTTCTTGTACATGACGCCCCATACTCACCACAGCTGGGTCTCCCATTGGGTACTGGCAGCATGTTCTAATGGTTGGCTCTGCGCTTCCTTTGTAGATATCATGCTGGCCGTACGTATCTGCGAGAATCAATGCGTTGATGTCTCCTCGCTCAAGCGTTTGTGCTAGACTCGTCCAGTAGCTGAGATCACTAAACTTGTCAGAAGCCGTGTCGTCGGGTCTGCGCCACTGGCCGAAGCACAGATGACTGGGCGTGAACATGTCAAACGCATTGAGAATGATTCGTCGTTTTTCCGATACGGCCATTGATTCCGTTGAACGACACAGGAACACTGAAGTGAAGTTAAGCCTAGAAGCATAATTCGTCTCACCGCCATCTCCATTGTTGCTAGATAAATGAATCAGCTCTACAGCTTGTGCCACCACGCATTCCCTAAAGAAAACGCGACCGAAATCGGCAGGCTGCCAGACTTCTCGATCCTTTACATTAGCCCAACAGTGGGGTTGCAGATTCGCAACCGGAATCAAGAATGGCGTGCGCCACACCACATGAACGACATTGTTCTGCCTGATGAAGACCAATGTGACTTTCAGTGCCTACCGGCCACCCAAATACTTCCATGCAACCCCGGTGAACCATCTAGATGCTGCCAATTACTCCGATGCAGAAGCAGGCAGGTGGAGAAAGCAGCCATCACGACAACGTGCTCCGCCAGCTTTCTCTCCTCTTATCTCTCCCACATCTTGAATTTCCGAGAGATTGCTAAGCATTTCCTTTTACGGCTCCAGATCTGTTCCCGATTACGAAAGTATCTCTATCACGCCAGCATCGTTCGAAACAACGTGCTTCTAGTTCCATGCATGCAGAATCCTATCAGGCGATTTACAAATTTTGAAAAGCGTTGCGTGATTGAAGATCTACTGTCTTTTATGCCTGAAAGTTTCGGCTTTCAGTGTCATTGAAGCAGACATTCATCTCTAGTGTCCTCCACGGTTTATCCATTCAATTCCCAACGACATGGCCCCTACTGCAATTGCTGACCTGGTCAATCACGACCACAACGCAGATTCGAGGGAGCATCCGGATGTTTTGAAGGCCGTCGATCCGCGTTTTGCGATCAAGGAACATCCCATCGATGAGTATGAACCTATCCGAGCTATAGTTGTCGGAGGCGGCATAAGTGGAATTATCGCTAGCATATTGCTGCCGGCGAAAGTCCCCAATCTAGACCTGGTCGTCTACGAAAGAAACTCAGATATTGTATGAACATGGTAACACCCTATTGAGCTTTGGTTACTGATGAGGCAGTAGGGAGGTGTTTGGCACACCAATATTTACCCAGGCGTGCGATGCGATGTTCCGGCCCACGCTTACCAGGCAACATTCGCCCCCTCAACGACATGGACCGAGGCGTACGCGACTGGGCCTGAGATATTTGCCTACTGGAAACGAATCGCAGATCAGTATGAGGTGGGCAAGTACATCCGTACCAGCCATACCGTGACCTCAGCAGAATGGTCCGAAGAGAAGGCGAAGTGGATTGTTAAGATTCGTTCAGATGAAGGAGATTTTGTCGACGAGGCCAACTTCTTGATTACCGCCACAGGCCATTTCAGCGACCCGAAGCTCCCAGATTATCCGGGCATCAAGGACTTCAAGGGGCACCTCAGACATACCTCAAATTGGGATCCAAACTTCGACCCGAAAGACAAGCGTATCGCCGTCATTGGAAATGGTGCTTCGGGACTTCAGGTGCTGCCGCAATTGCAGAAAGTTGCATCGAGTATCGACCACTATGCTCGAAACAAGACGTGGGTGGCAGCGCCGATTGGAGGAGAAGATCTTGCAGACTTTGTCGCCGACAACATCGAAGACGCGCGAACGAGCCCAGAAAAGTACTTGAGATTCCGAAAAGCCCTGGAAGCAAAGCTCTTTAGTCGCTTTGGTGGCATCTTCAAAGATGGACCGCAAAACGCAGCTGCCGAAGAGTCTATCCGCAAACTGATGAAGGCTCGCCTTTCCGGAAACGATGAGCTAGCAAAAGAGATCATCCCAGACTTTTCCGTTGGCTGTCGTCGGCTGACACCAGGACCTGGGTATCTGGAAGCGCTGACGGCGGACAACGTGAGGTACATCAGGGACCACATTGCAGAATTCACAGAAACGGGCATCCGTACGGTTGACGGTATGATTTTCGGTCTCATTACACGAGTGCTAATTACTGACACTGACAGCAGGGACTCACCGAGAAGTGGATGCTGTCATCTGTAGTACTGGGCATGACATTACTTTCAGCACTCAATTCCCAGTCTTGTGTAATGGGATCGATCTGCAGAAAGCTTGGCGGCCCGGTGGCAAGCCCGGGTTCCCTGACACATACCTCGGCATGCTCGCTCCAGAAGTCCCCAATTTCTTGACAGTACTCGGACCAAATGCCACAGGTCCAGCAGGTACCTTGTGCCATGCTGTAGAAAACCAGCTTACGTATGTCGCCAAATTACTGCGCAAAGCTGCCACGCAAGGCATCCGAAGTATGGCAGCCACAATTGAAGCGACTCGTGACTTCCGAGCCTACACCGAAGCTTTCTTCCCTCGTACCGTCATGAGTGAGTCATGCAGTTCGTGGTACAACGGAGGGATCAAAGGTGGCAGGATTCACGGGTTATGGCCTGGCAGTGCTGCGCATGTGGACTTGGTCCGGAAAGACCCACGATGGGAAGATTTCAGCTACACGTACAACAATCCTCAAGGAAACAGATTTGGATGGTTGGGGAATGGATGGACGAAAAGAGATGAGGCGGCGGCAAGTGGCGAAGCTCCTTCTGACGTAGATCTTACGCCATGGCTTGAAAAGGAAGCCTTCAGTGGGAATGTTGATCTACGAAGTTACCATGAGAGGTGGTGGATTAGTTGAGTTCTTGAAGAAACACTCGTTACAGGTTGGCTACGCATTCGGGGAGTCGGGAGTGAGGTTATCTCTGTTGGCCTCATGAATCCACCAAGACCCGTCTAATGTCTGTGAAGACATAGTTGCCATGTCCCTTTCAAAATTGGACGGCGTCAATCAAGGACGACGTTTTTGCTAAATGTCTATGAATAACAAATTAAATTAGGAGGGATGGAAGGTCAAGCCGACCTAAACCATGGTGTTCAGTCTCTTTCATCGTCTAGATAAGCGTTGCAAGGGTGAATACCCCAGGTAACATTAAGGCCTGGGAAAGGAACGTGTTTTCCACGTATTGGGTAAACGGCGCGACACATGGCTGGCGATTGACCACCTGAAGTCTGAGACTGTCTGAGAAAAAAAGCGTTGAGTCCAGAGCACCTGTCTGAGATCTGCCAAGAGCTGAGCTCGGAAGTGTCGATTCCGGCGGAATGTGTAGCTTATTATTGTCGGCGTTGCCGAGCTTGATCCCCAACACTTACGGCCCGTGAACTTCATGTCTTCAAAGCATTTTCCTTTGTTAGCTCCACTTACGGAGCTGGTCTTACCGAACGGCTTCACAGTATTTGATCTGATAAAGAACGCCTTCATTCGAACAAGCATTTCTATCCCAAAAGCCCGAACGTTGCCGCGACACTTGATAAAACGTAATTAACGTCGTAAACAGTCGAAGAACTGCCGATATCGGCAAAAGATTTTCAACTTACTTGCCAATCATGCTGCATGCAACAGCGGCTGAGTGGTCGATGGTGAGGCGGAAAGAAATTGGCTCAATAGCACCCGTGCCTCCAGACCCGACCAGTTGGTACGCATGCCATTAAAAGGAATTTCCATTCTTGAAGCCAGATTTTGACCTCGAATGCAACACATCATCCACGTGAGAGGCATGCATGTTGATCCGCCCGACTTATACGGATACTGATACCTGCTCAAAGTGATTCCCCCTTGTGACGAAGACGCAAGAGGATTAACTCCCAGGCGCATTTTGAACCAGCGTAATTTGAACGAGACACATCACAGCAAGGAGAGGGAAGTATCATTGGAATGGGTGGAATATCCTGGGGCTTCAAATCTGTCAAACCAAGACTAGACATACTATATCATACACTATCCGTCGCACCTGTTCTGCACAAAACTTCAATCGCATCTCTCGACTCGATCTCATCAGCAAACTGCAAATCTGCATTTTTTTTAGAATGAGAATATTCGCACGCAGTCTCTGCGCTTTTGCGTCTCTGTTGAGCCTGACAGAATGTATCATTATCAGACGCGGTGGGAGTGCTGCCGAGCTGGCAACCGCGGCAATCCAAGATAGTCGTTTGATACCGGGAGAAGCCACGTTCTATACGGTTTCCGGCGGCCCTCTTTCCTATGGAACGTTTACAGACGGCCCCAATGGGCTTTCCGGAGTTATCCTGAGTACAGGAAAAGTTGAAGATGCACCAGCGGGATACCAATGCCCCCAAGAGAGCGTTCGGGAGAGCATTTTCATTCAGCCGAGAGTGCCAAACCAATGCGTACCCAGCACGGCTTTTACCGCAGGCACGAATCGATACTTGGATCGCCTTAACTTTGACATGGACATTGAGTCTACTGAAGGTGTTAGTGAGATCAGAATAGCAATCATTTTCGCCACTGGCGAAAGGTTTGTGAGCTCTCAGTCATACTCGTCGTTCTGTGCTGACACCAAGCAGGTTTATTACTGGAGCCGACGACAGATTCGAAATGTACTGGGGTGGCGAAGGAGGCAGGTATTTTGATGCCAGTGCTCAATCCTCGGACCTTACCCTCAATGGTGCGGACCTTGGCCTCTCATATCTGCGAGCCACTGCCCAGACTATTGCCCTCCCTTTGTCATACGACTTACGTTACAAACGCCGCCGCGACGTACTTATCAGCATCGACAACTTTTTCATCGAGATATGTGACGAGGCGAATCCCTATGTCGATTCCGTAGTGCTTTTCGCCGTGTCTGGTTATCCGGCCCCGATATCTGCGACGTCAACATCGATGGAAACTTCCACAGAAGTCTCGACGGAAACCTCGACCGAGGCATCTTCAACTACAACCGTCACTTTCTCAGAATCAGAGCTTCCGGCAACCGAGTTACCTACACTGACCACCACCAGTGACTTGTCGACAGAGACAACTACCTTCTCATCCTCAACACTCGAATCATCCTCCTCGGATGTCTCACCGAGCCGCTTGTCAGTTGAGCCTTCGTCTACCACGACAGAATCTTCGATCTCAAGATCCTTTGAAGACGCTACGACTACTGGCACCTCATCGATATCCTTTCCATTAGTAACACCGACAGCTACTGCAGACTCGTTACCATCCGACTTCCCAACCACGACATACCAGACGACGTTAGACACGGTAGTAAGCAGCAGCATGGCTGTTTCGACGAACCAATCGAGGATGGAAACATCCCTTGGCGCAACAATAACGCCCATGATTACAGCAACATCATCGGTTGATACGGTGGTGATCAATTCAGAAACCAGCAGTGCAAATACAGCATCTGCAGAGTCTGCATTGTCTTCGCCCATGGGCCAGACTACGCCGTCACCAACTTCCCAAGCGACTGCATCAGATACCTCCCAATCCTCACTTATGGCAACTTTGGACCTAGATATAATTGCTTCGTCGCCAGCCGATCTGAGCACAGTTGGTTCAACGCTACAATCTTCAGCTAGCTTTGTTTCTCCTATCATCAGGCCTAGTTCATCCACTGAACCCACTGCACCCATGTCCAGCCAGGCGACATCCAGCCCATCCGTGAACTTACCATCCACTTCGACTTCAGCAATGAGAACAACACCTCAACCAGAATCTCAACCATCCACCACAAGCACGCTACCTTCATCTGAGCCCACAATCTCCAACATACCCGTTATCAACAACCATGTATTCCGGGGCTGCTTGGGCTCCCAAGCTGGGTACCCATCTTTCAACGAGGTCGGAAGAGATGTCGCCATGACCCCTCAAAAATGTGTCCAGTTGGCAGGAAGTCTGAGATATGCTGGCGTCGTCTTCGAGTAAGTACAGTCCCGACATCTGCCGGAATCTGTTGACCAACTAACACTTACGGTTATCAGCACCTGTTACGGTTCGGACTCTCTCGAGTCGGCGTCGTTTGTGCCCACCGAGGGGTGTGGGACACCATGCCCAGGAGATATTCAACAGATTTGCGGCGGAAGCGTAGCCACAAATATCACGAGGCTGCGGGCACGACATTTCAGATCCCAGGTTTCCAAGCGAGCTGTCCCTGTCAGCGTCCTTCTTACCATCTACGAACGGGTGGACTCTTCTGTCGTGACTCTTGGCATATCTACAACGACCATTGCTGTTGGAGGCGAATCGATCTTGCCATCCACGCCAATCACTTTGCCTGTCTCAGCTGCATCAGATAACGCCACTCCTGCTACGAATATAGTCACAACTCCAGGTCAGCTTACGACTGTTGGAAATCCTCTTGATCCTGCGGTTTCTCCACAACCAAGCTCTTTCACGAGCATTTTTACTATTGACGGCGTCCCAACAACATCGGTCGGGGTCATCACGTCGCTCGTCGCTGCTCCAAGCTCCCCCACCGTCACAGCGATTCCTGGTTCTGGAGACGACGGTGACATCTTGAACCCTTCCTCCTCACTCAGTCTTGCTGGCTCGCAAACCGTATCCAACATGGGATCTCCAACTGCAGGTTCTGGAGCCGGTATTGGAGATGATGGCGATGTACTTGATCCTTCGTCTTCCAGGGGACTCGCCGGCTCACGAACTGTGTCCAACGTGGGACCACCCACTGCAGCTTCTGCTCCTGGGTTTGGAGAGGACAGCGATGTCTTGGAACCTCTTCCCACGACTCTTGGTTATGCAACGTCCAGAATTTTGCCGTCTACGGTGAGCGAGAGTGCTGGCAATCTCGGTGTCGACATGCCCATAACCTCTGTTGTGACCACGATAACATACACCACGGTCAACCCAGCAAGTCCCACAGCCCTCATGGAAGCTGAACTTTGCTCAACGCTGTATTTCCCAGACTGCGGTTGCCCAACGCAGGTTACGCCCACTGTCCCGATGACTACGATTGAGGCATCTTGCAATAGGTGCGGCTCCAAAGGCGAGAGTTTAGTCACGCTTACCGTTCCGGAGAGCCCATACAGAACTCAACAGTCCGCTGTCGAAGAAAAGTATCGTTCCGAAGGTAACCACTTACAGCCCCAAGAAAGCAAGCTGTACCCCGAAGAGAGCCAAACGCAGCCGAGCATGGTTCCTGCGGAGGTGGCACCGGCATCAACCAACTTACCGGACGCCGGCAAGACAAATAGTGTGCCGCAATCGTCTATCGCATCCTCGATTTCAGCCGTAACGGCAACTGCAGTCGGCTCTGGCGAGTCAGATACTCCGGCAAATCAGGGCAACGCTTCAGACGGGTCTGAAAGTCAGGATGCCCACGGCAATGCAATAGTTTCTCCAGCCAATTCCGCAGCGTCTGTTGGTCCAGTTGGTGCGCCCGACATTCATTCTGTTGCTGCACCTATTCCCACACAAACTGCCATCCCTTCAAAACCAGAAAGCTCTATAGCAGGCTCTTCAGGTGTCCCTGGTGCAGGAGGTGGCACGGGTCCGGGCACGGGTTCGGACTCCGTCCCCGGCTCCGGCTCCAGCTCTGGCCAGGAGCCCTTGCCGCCCTCCTCAACCGAATCCAATACTGGCGGATTGATATCTTCCAAACCGAGCACGGTGGTTGTTTCTGGTTCTCTGAGGATGCAGAAATGGTTCGATGGCCCTCTCTTTGCTTCTGCAACCTTGTTCTCTGCCATATTGGTTCAGTTCCTCAACTAAAATGGGCGTGTACTCGAGGCTGAGCGAGCGATAGAGGCGGTATGTACTTTCATGAACGTGGCTTCTGTGGAGCTATTTTAGGCCCGTCAGCTTTTCCGGTCAATCTATTGAGCGGTATTAAATATTTGTTTATTAATTGCAAACCTCTACTTCATGTCAAAAGCCATCGACGCTGTTCGAGAAGTCAAAGTACTCTCCCAGGCCGGCACAGAGTTTACCCGCTGATGGCTGGGCACTTCGTCCGCCACGACGTGGTGTCTGCGTTGGTCCAGGTCTTGGAGGCTTAACTGGGCAGGGTGGAGGACTTTCGGTCGACGGTGCCCCTACGAACGATTACGTGGAGGCTGAAGGTGTTGAAATTTCGGGTGGGGAATTGTAAATATCACATGGTAGTGTCAGAGTAGCCCTGGGCTCTCACACCCCTAGACAAGTTCGATCGTCTCTTCCTTCGCATCAGAGAACAGGCCGAAGACCTGCCTTCTCTCCTGAAACCCGTCAAAGGAATTCCAGATCCTAGAACCGATCTTCTCATAAGTGTCCCTCGAGCCGACCACCCTCCTCAACACCAGAAACCCGATAATCACCTGCACCCCAAGCCATTTGTGTTCCTCCTCTCTCATGTGTAGCTTATCCTTCTGGAAGGTATACAGTCGCAGGCACGCATAATGCGTCATCTCGTCCTACGGGCAGCAATCCGAATCATCCCTTGGCAGCATCGTGGAGCTCCAGCAGGAGGCATGTGAGCTCCCCTCCTCTATTGTTGGACGCCCCTCGACGTCCAGAAGCACCCGCCAGCTCTGCCTCCTCCACGTGCGCGGGAAGGATGTCACCCTGTATCTCCCTTTCCCATCTCCCGGTAACTGCATTTTATAGTTTCATGACACCGAGTCATCCTTGACGTGAAGCGTAGCCAGATCCACCGGGGCCGAGGGACCAGAGACAACCACGGGCGCCGACTCCATTACTCCGCCTGTGGGATTTGCGACGTTGCTCAGAATGCACGCGATGCCCCTCGCCTTCACGTCGCAACTCCACTGCGGGTTGTCACCCTCTTCGTACCTGCCAGCGGTGACTTCCATGTGTCGAAGACTACGGGTCCGTCCACCGAAGCCCACGACCAGCTCGGCGCACAACACTACTGACATTTTGAGTGGCTAGCATGACCCGTCTTGTTCAGGAGGGGATACTCGACCGTCCAGGCAAGTCCGAGGACGAAGATTTTTCTCCAGAGTCCTGCGTAATAGAAAGCGGGGAGACCGGGCTCCATGGGAGGATTCGATGTTACCAGCGTCCTCTCGTCAAATATTGCAATGATATGTTCGTCCCGGGACAGGGAGAACTTCTGCTGGAACAATCTCGCCAGGCCTGACAAGGCGACCAGCTTGTCGCTGGATCTCGTCAGGAAGCGTCGCGAATACAGCTCGACAAGCTTCAGCCATTCTCGGTGGATCTGAGAGAGTTCCATGAGGTTTGTCAGTCCGTCGATCGAACCCGACATCAGCGGTTCATCGCCGGCGTCGATGTCTTCGTCGAGATGGCCGCACTCGCACATGTTCCTCTTGCGGCAGTGCCATGCCAGTTCCCGGCCGTCAAAGACCAGTCTCCGTTGCGGGAGAATGTTTTCCTGAAGAGACCAGCCGCGGGTGTCCAGGGAGAAGACCTGGAACTGCTCGACCTCGCCGTCCCTGACGAATAGGCGGTCTCCAGAAGGACCCAGGCCAGGCGGCACGTGGGCGCGGATGGGTCTCTGCCACTCTGTGCTTCCCAGCTGCTGCTGGCCGAGGAACCCAATCTTGCACAAGCTCGGTGCTCTCGCGGTGATGGTGAAGAAGGAGTTCGCGTAGACGTCCATCATCTTTGCAGATTCGACGTTCCAGTCGGCGCTGTCGTCTTGGACGATACATAGCGCGTCAACCCAGAGGTACTTGACTTGCAGTTGGACGCAAACTTTGATGGTGTCTTGGACTGTCTGCGGCAACTCCGATACATGGATGCCGCGAGCGTGGGATGACATGTTCGATTCCAACGTCTGCCTGACCCCACTTAGGTCGGGGCCCCAGCAGTAGCTCAACGCCGCATACCGCAGGGGACCTATCCCGGAGGACTCAACGAGAGTCACTTGGTCAGCCGAAGGGTTCTGAATGCTCAAAAAGTCGGCGAGGGGCGAAATTGGGGTCGCTAGGCTGACAGGCGGAGTGTTTTTCCACACAGTTCCGCAACCAGAGTGAGGCTCGGGCGAACGCCAGGTCAGAGTCTGATGACGGGGCAATTTCGACGCTCTATCCAAAGACAATCTTTGCGAACCTGTCCAGGTCGCCTGAATCTAGCTTCTCGATATCTTACGCGTCGTCAGTGATCACCTCCCTCGTCCGGCAGTTGGGACTTCGACGGCTACCTGTGATGCGTCGATAGAGCTGTAGGTGGTCTATCGGCTTCGTAGCTTCGAGCAGTCGAATGGTCCCAGAGCCTACCGAATGCAGCGACGACAGTTTCGAGTTAAATAGCCATCTCTGCTGTGGCCTGATAGAAATAGAGAGATTGCGTTCCCGCGATTCGGACAACCACCACGGCTTCGTCTGTCTAATGATGTCGATCAATCCTTCGCAAGACGAGCAGCGCTTTTCGGTACATTCTTGAAGATTTTGAATGGACTCCGGAGATTTCAGACGCTGTAGCAACGGCCCTCTTTGGCAGTCTTGCCCCTGGTCTTGGCTGTGCGTGCCCATTGTCGAAGGCGTCTGTCTCAACGGAAGATACCAGGCATATATCAAGCAAATATCTCGTGAGCGTCCAGAACAATCGATCGCTTTTCACCAATTAGCAACGTTTCGGCACTTCTTGTTAGCTGGAGTCAGTAAGGAGGCGAGTCTATGCCGCATGAAATGTGTCTCGTCAGACGAGTGCAATCGTAGCCTGGTTTTGGCACAAGCGGAACCAATAGTGTTTCGCCACATGGATGCTCCGCTTAGATACGGGTATAGATTGCAGGAATCGTAACAAGACAGGTAAGCCTTGTTCATGAAGTTTGTGATAACTGCAGGTAATGTATGCATTGCTTGCTGTCAGTTCTTGTTATGTTTGGTTGCTGAGATGTTCAATCACAATAGCTGTCATGATGATAGTCTCGCCAGATATTGGTATTCTATAGACGAACAACGATGTCTCTAGTGATCTCTCCCAGAGCATAAATTCAAATGAAACAACGACCTATTCCTGGTTGGTCCCTGGGTAGTATGTTGCTACAGCTCCTATTTCCAGCCCCAAGTTCCACACAGAAGGAACACCTTCCCTGAAAAGAAAGACATCTCTTGATGAACCAAATCTTCTTTGATATAAGAAGAAATGTATGTGATTATAAAAATCTAATTGCGTATTCCAGCATCTAGCATATTGTGATAGTTTCATCAAAGTATATTTAGAAATTCTGTCTAGGCTCTTGCCCCGCTCGAGGCTGTGATGCACGCCCCGTCACCAATCAGCAATTACTAAACACAACCTGACATTTCTGATCAATGAGAAACATACTGCATTAATGTCTTTGCGAAAGTGCCCGCGGCACGTTTCTAAACCCGGCAGTGCTGCCTGTGTTGCAGGTGACATTGATGGACGCATCTGCTCTGAGCAATTTGTAGTTCCCCGAAAGCCTTCTAGTAACAATGTTTTCACTTACTCAAACTTCACCCGGAGGTCTTAGGTTTTACAGACTACCATAGGTTGTTGAGCTACTTACTCTCCTAACCTTACTCGATTCTCCGAGGCGATGCTTAACAGTTGTGATCCGAGCAACGCGTCAATTGAAGACTTGTTCCACATCAGAAGTCTCTAACATCTTAATTCAGAGACAGAAAGCCTCTTGAGTTCAAGGTCATACAAGGTGTAACAACAGAAAACGTAGACATTTATTCCGAGCGAGAACATTTTCTTTCGGCATCAACTTGGAGCGAGAGCTTGGGTTCGCCTTGGCATCTCATGTTTTTCGAGAGAGAAAATCTTAAACGGCGTCGTGTGACCAGTAAGAAAGTACAATCAAGCAGTTGGAGAAACGCGGTGCTCCGGGGAACCCTGAGCAACCAACAAGAGATCGACAGAGCCCCTCATTGGTTCCGTGAGAGTTGTCGTTTCAACTAGTAATTCGCTTCTGAAAGGGGCGTTGGGCTTCAACAACAGGGGCCTTGGCATATCTTTTGTAGCTCGCGATGAAGCCGGTTTGTTGTTGTCTGCGTTGTTGAGGGCATGTGTGGACCATGAGGGGGCGCTCATCTGCACCGAAGCCGAGGCGAAAACGCCGACGCGTTGTGTTCTAGACATCTGAACATCATACCCCTCATCATTCCGTCCGTACTTCTTCTCACAAGGCATGCAAGGCCTGCTTTATCCGGTGTTTGCTCCAGAAAACATACCACCAGGGCCGCCGATCCTACATCGTCGGTGGATGATCGTCGGTGGATGGATGCCTCGGGACCGCATGCTACAGCAAGTAGCTCGGCAGGCCGCTCAGTGCTCACAGTCCATATATGCGCGAGCCAAACGCTGTGAACCGCACCACGACTGTTTCACGATGGGCCGACTTTAAATTGTGGTGGTCAGTCAAACGCTTCATGCCAAAAACATGCCATTTCTGCCCCTGTGGTCCGTGGAACGGTCCCGTCCGGTGGGCTGCATCGGGTCGCAGAAGAAAACAGTCAAAAATTTCCGGCGCTAACATTGCTGCGCGAGAGCCACTTTTCCGGGTCTTGTGTCACCCACATTTTCGGTGTGCAGGCCGTAAGGCAGACGGGCAATCACATTCAGCTCAGTCTTCCCACGAAAAGTGCTGCGGCAGATGGTTACACACAGTGATCAGGGCACATAAGAATTAGACAAAGATTTTCTGATTTTCTGATTGTTTTTCTGGGGTAGTAGAGATATTTTGTACAATTGCTCGAACAAAAGTGACCTGAAGCACTCCGTGTCCCTGAATCCCTTCTCCGAGCAACCCGCCGTTCTCGATCCAACGCCAG